CCTAATCATAATCCAACATTCTCAAAATCTCTTGAAATGGCGGGATCATTGGTCCTCCTTTTTATGTTACCTCCAGACGTTAACTTTTAAAACACTGATACATGTGTCTTCTATTTTTAGCCCCTCTATTATAATTTTTAGGATTTTCCCGATACTGTGGCGAATTTCATATCATTCGGATCATAAATGAGTGCTGTTGTTTATGTTAAAAACCCGACTCAGAAAATGTTTCTATTTGCATCCTTAAAAAAAATGTGGCTATTTCGATTCCCTTTTGCATGTTACAAACATACAAAAATACATAAAGAGACTTAAAATCGATTGGAGCTTGTATATGGCTAAATCACGGTAAATTATTGGGTGAGGAATTTACACCGAATGAAAGCCAAACATTATGGTAGCGAATTAGTTTGAAAAAGGACGTTCTCAAACCCGAAAATACCGAATAATGGGATGCACCATTATATGGGTCTATACCTAAATGAGGATCAATATATCCTATGATGATCACGATTGTTGACGCTATAATACGTAAAAATTTCATATGAATATACGTAAAAATTTCTCTACACGCTCTAATAAAAAGTGAGAGAGTAAATTGAAAACTTAAAACGTATTTTCTGCAAAATCGTTTTTTTAGTTATGCCCTTGGTTGCAGCAAATGAGCGATATAATTTTTCCTTCTCAAAGAATTGCACTGTTATGCCTTCCTTCTTTATCTGATTCGTTGTTATCTTCGGCTTTAACAACGTCGAACATGACAATTTGAAATAAACAAAATTTTAAATGAGTATGATTTACATAATAAATAATTTGTTGTTTGTGTGTTTTTTTTTTTCAAACAAAATACTGCTCTACTTTGCTATGACAGACAGTCTCTTTGAAATTGCCTTTTTGTCAAAATTCCAGTGCATTTCAGAGAATATAAAAATCATTTTACTCAAAAGTTAACATTATGTTATGTCACCATATCGTGACATAACATAATGTTATACCACACCGACATCTATATTTCATTCGTGTCCTATCTTTTTTATGTCTTTGGTTGAATCGGTAAGCGTATAACAGTTTATGACACTTTCACAATTATAGCACCGTTAACTGTTATACTGTTATAAAACTGTTATACTATTAATTTTCATCAAAATTTTTTCCAAAATTAATGATTTTTGATTATTTTTTTGATTTTGTTGATTGATTTCCGCGAAAATTGGATGGAAAAACAAAAAAACAATGTTTTTTGTTCACGGATAAAAAAATTTTCCGCGAAAAATTTTATTATCCGTAATTATAGTCAAGACACCAACCTTATTATCCTTACACTGTATTTTTGTTATAATTCCACCCTCTAACAGGTTTATATCTTTGCTAAGAGCAATAAACAACATTATACATTTAGTACTAAATGAGCAAAACATACTTCACCACATGGCTTATTCACCCGTCGATGGCCACGCATTGGTGACTTTGTTTTAATTCAACACTCATGGTTTATAATTACGCTACAAGACTTTTCAATTAACCACAATTTCCCTTTTAGTACTAATCAAATCCATCAACCACATGAGGGAAATTGAAATAAAATTCCCTTTCCACCAGCCAATAACAATTATCTACCACAAAAACTCACCATCATCTTTGCCAGCTAAACGCAACGCTTGCGCTCTGTTGTTATAAATCGATGCACGTTTGGGGGTTAATTCTAAGGCTTCTTTAAATTTCTCGAATGCCACCGCATCCGAATGATTTTCTTCTGCCAATTTCACGGCTTCAATTTCCAAGAGTTTAGATTTTTCTACCACCTCTTTGGATTCCGCATAATCATCTTCGTCCACCAATATTTCACTGGAATCGGCATTGATCAATTGTGGTGCCAATGTTGATGTTAATTCCAGTGGATTGAATATCGATTCCAAGACTTGTTGGTCATGGGCACTGAGACAGGATTTTGTTAAAGGTTGGGGCATTTTTGTATTTATATATTTGAAATTAATTCTTTATTTTTTATATGTTTTTGATTATTTTTTTAATTTTAGTGAATTTTACTTTTTTTCAATATTTTTTATTTCCGTCTTATCACCTGCCCGTTTCAAAATAAACTAATGTGGAATCTGAACTGAAAAACATTTCCAAGCCTGCTTACTGGCCGTTGAGCGGCAGTTGTCTTAAATTAGATCGTGTCTTTGTTGTTGTTTTGTTTGTTTATTGTCGGCTACTAAATGCAAATGAACACGAAAAACTGGTCGAAAGAAATGAATATTTAAATCAAAATTCTTAATTCATCGATAGTAAAATTGTAGCATTTTATTACACAGTGTTTGGAACATGATTGGTTTGTGACTTAAAAAACGACGAATAAAAATATAGCGAAAATGAACTAGCCAATATATTTTTATTAACCATTCATATATTTATTATTATTATTTATTTTTTTTTTTTGAAATATTTTAGATTAGATTAGATTAGATTAGATTAGATTAAAAAACTAATTTCTGAGATTATGCTTTTCACAGCTAGGCCAAAAAGACTTAAGGGGACCCCCCATTCACGGGATCAAAAATATTTTTGATTTAATTCGAATCTACACTAATTCGAGAATGTACCTACAACATTTCAAGTGAAAATCTCAAGAACTCTTGAAGATATAGCCGATTTATTGTGCCAGCATCAAGTGACGGCTAAAGGGCTTCTCAAACTTTAAACGCGGTTTTCTCCTTTGGCGGGCACGATAGCTCAAAAACTAATAACCCAATCGATTCCAAATTTTTACACGTTTCTCTGTAAGTGTACTGTTATGGTATGAACTAGTATAAAGCCAATCGGTGAAGATCTTCATTATTTTTTAACTTGGTTTTTGGTAAAAAATCGGCGATTTCCCAAAAAAAATTTTTTCGAAGGTCAGACCTGTACTCTTTCTAACACCGTTGGAATTTTCGGATTCCGATGTTCCAGTGAGGAGTTATCATGCCCGCCATCAAAAATAAGGACTTTTCTTTAATTACAAAAAACAACAACAAAACTATTACACAATTTTTTTTTTGTTTTTGCAAAATAGTCAGGCTTTTTTTGTAAATTATTTTTCTTGCCTTATAAATGTTCAAATATATATGTTCAAAGTTACAAATCTTAACAAGCATTGGTATTCATTTACCAGCCCATTAAAAATCTTAAAAATAAAAAATTGAGAAGGGGGGGGGGTTTCCCTTAAGTGAACAATGCTACTTCATAGAAATATATCCCAAACAAATTAAGCCCGACCAAGACCTTAGTCGAAAATGTTTCTGACGATCCTAATGAAAATCCCGATCCAGGAATTGAAGCCTTGAAGATAACTGGGCCTCAAAATAAATATTTTTGAGTATTATAAAATTATAGCAACTTCAGCTGCTAAAAATGGCAAAATAGACCGTGTGGGTCTTCGAATTCCAACAAAATTCCAAGACAGTTGTAGATGACTTTTTTATTTTCGCACATCACAAATAAATGTGTGGTCAACGATTTTGATTTTCAAAATATGGTCTCGGACGCATTCTAAATATTAGTCTAGGAATACATATATATATATATATATATATATATATATATATTTACAGCCCTCGTATTAAAAAAAAAAAAAAACAATATTTATACCCTTCACCAAAGTTTATATTAAATTTGTCATTCCGTTTGCAACACCTCGAATGATTTAAATGATTCGAGGTCCCATAAAGGATATATTAGGTTGGAGAAATAGAAATCCATTAGGCCGGTTGTCGAAAATGTCGATAAAATCAGAGAAATGATCGAAGTTGACCGGCATGTTAGCAGTCGTTACATCGCCCAGAAGCTAAAAATCGACCATAAAACTGTTTTAAACCATATACACAAAGCTGGATTCAAAATGAAGCTCGATGTTTGGGTGCCTCACCAATTAACAGAAAAAATAAAATGGATCGAATGGATCGTGAAGCATCTTAAACGGTGACAAACCAGCACTAACGGCCAAGAAGGTTCTGCTATGCATTTGGTGGGACTGGAAGGGGATTATTTTTTATAAGGGGATTTATTTTTTATATTAATATTATATTTATATAGGAGGTACATGTAAATCCAAACCGATTTTCAGGAAACTTACCGTGCACTATTCTAGACTTAATTATGAACGTTATGCCAAATTTTGTGCAAATCGAAAGATATATAGGGACTTTGGTACACCAATTACCTTAAATCGGACGAATATATATATATATGGGAGCTATATCTAAATCTGAACCGATTTCAGGAAACTTGACACACACCATTCTATACCTAATTCATTACGCTGTGCCAAATTTGGTGCAAATCGAGAGACTTTGGTACACCATTTACCTTAAATTGGACGAAAATATATATGAGAGCTATATCCAAATTTTGAGCAAATGATTGCCTGTTTGGCCAATTTGTAATTAATGGGGGACTATGATTTTTTTTATTTTCGAACAACACAAATAAATGTGTGGTCAACGATGTTGGTTTTTAAATATACAGCCCTCGTATTCAAAGAAAATTTCAATATTTATACCCTTTACCAAAGTTCATATTAAATTTGTTATTCCGTTCGCAACACCTTGAATGATTCAAATGATTCGAGGTCCCATAAATTATATATTAGGTTGAGGAAAATGAAAATGTCGATAAAATTGGAGAAATGATAGAAGTTGACCGGCATGTTAGCAGTAAAAAAACATAAAACTGTTTTAAACCATTTACACAAAGCTGGATTCAAAATGAAGCTCGATGTTTGGGTGCCTCACCAATTAACAGAAAAAATAGGATGGTCGAATGAGATAGACATATTTCTTAAACGGATGGTGGCTGGAGATGAGAAATATATCACATACGAAAACTCTGTGCGAAAACGATCGTGGTCAAAGAGCGGTGAGGTACCTCAAACGGTGGCCAAACCAGGACTAACGGCCAGGAAGGTTCTGCTATGCACTTGGTAGGACTGGAAGGGGATTATTCATTATGAGTTGATTCCATATGGCCAAAATCTGATCACTACTGTCAACAACTGGACGAAGACAGCAGTTGACCTGAAACGACCAGAATTGGCCAACGGGAGAGGTGTCGTGTTCCACCAGGACAATGACACCAGGACATCTACAGTGACTCGCCAGAAACTTCGGGAGCTTGGTTGGGAAGTTTTAATCCATCCGCCATACAGTCCGGACTTGGCACCAAGCGATTATCATTGTTTTCTTGCATTGCCAACTTTCTTTAATGATAAAAAATTTGTATTTAGGGAGGATTGTTAAAATCGACTACTAGAGCTATGTGCAAATAGCTATGTGCAATAGAGAGAGCCATTATGAAGTTACCTTTAAAATGACAACAAATCTTACAACAAAACGGTGCATATTCGGACCAAATCGGATATTCCGAAGCATGTTAAATAAAGACCAATAGTTCATATACAAATAATGGCCCTCAAGAGGATGCTTATAGAACAATATCCTATTCATGCATAGCCATATCGAGAAGTGGGATCGAAAATCTCACGAATTTTATCTATAAAATATTGAAACATGCGATCCTAAATGTTTCTGTGGCACATAGCTCAGTGTTGTTGGAAGTGAACGTTGTTCAGATCAATACCATCCAAATCCGACTATAGAAATCAGTAATAATAGCGGGTCCAAATGTAAATATTTTGCCTGGATTCCAACAATATTTTATTCGTGATTTTAGTTTTCTGAAGCTATCCAACATTTGTTCGTGGACATTTTAGTGTTGATACCAATCGGACGGAGCCGACTATATGATATCCTTCCTGAACAACACAGATATTTGAACTACGAGTAATAAAATTCTAAAATGTATGAAAAATTTCATGTCAATCGAACAGGCTTTGGTTTGTTTAGTGTACAATTTATATGAATTCGAGTAAAATTGTGTAAGGGGATCATTTGCTATGCTGCAGCACAGTGCGCTCTCCAAAATGTATCTCCATCGGAAAAACACTTATTATTTGATAAACAATTTACATGAACTCAGACTAAAATATAGAGAGTTTATACCTATATCTGAATATATTTTACAAAATCCAATACATTCTATTTGGTACGTCCAATCAGACAAACTTTAGATTTTTGGTACATCATTTAGATAAAATTGGATGAAAATATATTTGCTATATGAACCGATTTCAATCCAATACGCTATGTAAACTTTACGGTCTTCATAGTAGTAATTTCAGTACGCTGTACAGAATGTTTATCCAATCGAATACATATTGGGAGTTTAGTGCACCATTCACATAAAATCGGAAGAAACTATATATGAGAGCCATATCTAAATCTGAACCGTTTTCAATAAAACTTCACATACGTCAATCTGGACCTGATTAAGTACGATGTGTCAAATTTCGGATCATAAATGCGACCTGTACTTTGTTTACAGACAGACAGACAGATAGAGGGACATGCATAAATCGACTCATAAAGTGATTCTATACATATTCTCAAAAGGAACCATGTGCCTATCCCATTTATTTTTGTCGGCTACAAACATATACATTATATTCATTATTAAAATATACACTTAAGTCCATCGTAAAAAACATTCTTGAAAAAAACTCGCTTTATTGAGTTCTTTGAAAAATATTTTTTTAATTGGGAATTTGAAAACATATATTTCTTTAATCCACGCCTTATTGAGTTCTTTAAAAAAGTCCTTTACACGCTTTATTGAGGGCTTAGTCCTTCTTTGTTGAATCCTTGAAAAATATGATTTAACAAAATTCAAGTCTGTTGAATTTCTAAGAAAAATTCTTTAATATTCTGCTCTTTTTAAGCCTCGATAAAATAAAAAATCAAGGATATGTTTATCCTTGATTTTTTAAATATCCTGAATTCTTGAGAAAGAATACTTAAAATTACGTCAATTTTGTTCAGATTCCAGTACTTACCACCACAAAATAAAAATGAAAAAATCCAAAAAATTTTAT